TGGAGGAAAGGAGGAAAAAGCACCCCATTTCCCATGAGTATACCACCCATACCACTTTGCTACTCCCCAAAAATTAATTAGTATTTACTGTGTCCACTGAGGGCCCAGCCTCGCCATATTGCTTACACAAAGGAGATTAAGGGCCAGGCCCCACCCTGAAGGCTCATATATACCATCTATCTTTTGCTTGGCAAATAAGCCAGACCCACATGATATCCTTGTTGAGGTTGGAACGTAATAACACTATTTGTTTAATCAGTTTAGCAAGATAAATGAAACTACTCCCACTGGTGTGGCTCCTTCACTGAGTTCCCTGAGATTCTATGGCTGAAACCATTTCTGGAGCCCCCTGGGGAAGAGCAGGTTTCAGGGATCCTGTTATCCCTTAGTCTAAGCATTGAATGCAAGAGGTACAAGAAGTTCCCTCTGAAGCAGAACAAGCAAGGCCCGGCTAGGGACTAGGACAGGGAGCCAGGAAGGAACCTAAATGGCCGCGAGTCCCCTTGGGAGCTCACATCTCCAGACTTGACCTTCCGCATCGACAAATTAGGGCCCATCACGACAACCTCAGGGCTATTGGGAGGCTCAAAGAAAAGAAGGTAAATCATTTCATCTCTCTAGGCTGAGCCTCAGTTTCCCTGTCTGTGAAATGGAGTCAATATCTCCTCCCTCACAGGGCTATGAAAAGACCAAATAAGATGGTGAACACACACAGCAAGCATGCTCCCTATGGTGGCCCGGATTCTTACTGCTTGTAGAACAGGGAATAAGATACATAAATGAATCTTGGGCCTCAACTTCCTTATCTGCACTATGGGGCAAACAATTCAGGCATGAAGACCAAAGTCATGAACAGCAGCTGCATCTCCAGCTGGTGCTGGTGCAGGTTAAACATAATGACTGCTGTGGGCTCACTTTGAGGTCCACGTTCATGCGCTGAGCACAAAGCCCTCTGACTCAGAGACCATCAGACCCAGGAAAGCCTGATATTATCATGCCCACCCCTGTAGTGCAGGGTGCGCCCTGAGACCCAGAGAAAGACACACATTAGCACAAGTCACCCAGTACTTTGTCAGTGGCAAAACCAGGACCCAAGTCCAGGCCTTCTGCTGCCCAGCCTTGCCCACCGCACCTACTGCTTTTCTCTGCTCTGCCCTCAAATTGCTGATGTGGTCCCAGGCCAGGGCAGGGGAGAGCAAGCATATGGTGGGGGAGTGTAGGGGGGAGGGGGGCAGGGAGGGCGAAGCGGGCGAGCAGCAGGAACCCAGCCTGCCTGTGGGCTACAAACTCACAAACCACATCAGGCTGAAATATGACACACGCTCACTCGGTTGAAAGGGAGGAGACAGTTTTATTTAACATACCCTGGCTGCCTAAACACTGCTCTCTCCCTTTCCCTCCCCCGAAAAATGCATACCTCCCAGGACCTGCTTTTCCCTGCTTCTGCCAAAGGGCGGGGAGATGGTCCTGGCTGGGACCCCAACTCACGGAGGGACCTAGGGCAAGGGATCTTGTGTTCTCTCAGCCTTGATTCCCTGAAACAGAGGGGAGACTGACCTACACTTTGGAGTCCTGTTGATAGTATAGGATGAGTTTCCCAGCGGTGCTCCTGGGAGGCCCTTCAGACCTCTGCTGCAGAGCTGAGCTCCTCAAGCTGTGCACACAGCCACTGTGAAAACCCCAGCAGTTCTCATCACGTCAGGACTACAAGGAAACTTCAGGATAACATTTAGTGAAGGGATTAAGAGTCAGGGCTCTGTAGTCAGAATTCCAGAAGCCGGGTGCCATCATCTTATAACGACAAAACCGGAGGCACGTTATTTAGACTCGGTACCTCATCTGGAAAAGGGGAAATAGTAGTGCCTACCTCAGAGGAACACTGGTAAGGAATCAAGGAAATAATTAATGTCCCTGTGGTTGATACACTAAAAGGCAGCTTTTTGTTATAATCAGGCCAGCCAACATCACCCCCATTTCACAGATGAGGAAACTGAGGCCCAGAGAGCCAGGACTTGCCAAAGGTCACTCAGAAGAATGAAGGCTGCAGCTCCGCTCCCAAATCAGTGCTTCTAATTCCTTTCAGTCCTGTGGTTTCTAATAAGTAAATATATACACTCAGAGGCTGTAGATACAGACTGTAAAGTTTGCTTGAAGAAAACCAGAGATCAATGCCTCAGCAAAGGACTACAGATCATGCAGAGATCATCTCAATGACCTACCTGGCAAATTCTTCTTTTTTTTTTTAAGGAGTCCAACACGGGGCTTGAACTCATGACCCTGAGATCAAGACCTGAGCTGAAATCAAGACCTGAGCTGAGATCAAGAGTCAGACACTTAACTGACTGAGCCACCCAGGCGTCCCTGCCTGGCAACTTCTCAAGAAAGACCCAAACTCCCCCCAGGAGTAGGAAGAAAGTGACCTATGGCACTGGATGGCTGAGAAGTGTAAGGCATCCAATCAACAACTCTTGCTCATCATAGCTTGATAAAGTGCACACAAGGCTGCTAACAATGGCTACCTCTGGGGAAAGAAGGAGGTCTGGAGGGATGAAGTTTACACTATACTCTTCTCTACGTTAGACTCTTTAGCAATATTTTTTCCCACTTTAAAAAAAAAAACAAAAACCCCTGCAAAACTCGAAATAATTTAGCGGCCTTATCCAGTAGCTATCAGCCTGCTGTTTGCTTTTCGATGAAATTTATAGCAGGTTCTAAGACCTTTGGCTGGGCTTCCCGAATCTGCAACTCTGATCCATCCTGGTAGCCACTGCTCTGGTTCAGACCTGCACTCTCTTTAACTTGGACCATGTAACACCCTCCTCCTGGTCCCCCTGCCTCCAGTTTGCCCCTTCTGATGCATCCCCTACATCAACCACCAGATCAGTGAGAGTTTTTATCGCTGTTCTGCTCAAAACCTTTCTCAGCTTCTCACTGCCTTCAGGATAAAGTCCAAACCCTTAGTTTACAATCTGTATTTACAGTCTCAACTCCCACAACTGCACCGTTCCCTCATGGCCATTCTAGCCATGGACTGCTCAAGAAACCTCAGTACCTTTGTACAAACTGTTTATGTTTCTTAAAATGTCTTTTCCCTCAACTCCGTTAACTGCTGGGAACCTATTACTTATTTTTGAGCCTGGGTTGCCCTTACAGATTTAGTCACCCCTTTATGAGTTGAAATAACTCTCAGTATCGAATGATTGTTTCAATCACTATGGATGGGAAGTATCTTGAGGACAGAGAGCTTTGTCCTCCTGGAGGCTTTTGGGCCCTCACAGGGCAAGGCACAGAACACAGGCCCAGGCAAGTGTTGAATCAAGGAAGGAGGGAAGGAAGGAAATGTCATGAGGGACAAATCCTACAGCCTCCCCACTCACCCCCAGCTGCCTGCTTTCCTAGGTTCATATTAGTCTGTAACAAAAAAAGACTATGGAAAATTCTGGAGTAAAGTTTCCTTCCTTGATTCACAAGGAAACCTTCTTTGCTGCTGTCTAACTCCCCCCCCCCCCCCCCGGGTGCCAACCCAAGCTCTCTGGCTGTTTACAATTTCCCTGGCATTTATAAATAGCAAGGCCTCAGAAAGGAAAATGGAATTTCAAAGGAGCTGGATGCTGCCTGACCTCCCATCCCATCCTTCCTCCTCTGCTCCAAGCCCCTTCCCCTTCACATCCCCAAGAAACACCAAACAGCACCCCCAAGTGTGTGGGAGGGGAGGGGCAGGGATGTCTCAATGAATGGAACACTCAAGAAAGAGTAAAAAGCCCCACCAGCTAGAAGGACTCGGCCAAAGGCCAACTGGAACTGGGTCCCAGCCCTGCCCCTTTGTCACAGTGTGACTGTGAGCCCATCACAAGCTCTCGGGGCCCAGCTGTTCTCTCAGCTGTGGAATGGGGTTGCGGTGAGACTCCAGCAGGCCATGGTCACTGTAAAGTGCGCTGGTCAGAAATGTGGTCCTGGAAGAACGGGCCGTGCAGGATTAAGTCTTTGAGAAGTGTCTAGGAGCTGAACTAAAGCAGAGGCTCCTCCCCAGAGGCCCCGCCTTCCACAAAGCCCGGGTTACCCCCCAGGACAGCCCTGAATGCCTTTGGCTCCTCAGAGTTCTGGGTGTTTTAAAGATACCCTCTCTGCTCTGTGGAAGGTGTAAGGGCGGGATAAAAGGTGTATGTCTGGGCAGATAAAGGGCTGCAAAAGAAGCCAATGTCCCCTGCCCACCCAAAGGCGCCCCCGCCTTCCAAAAACGTGGGCTTACCCTTGGCCACCGCCCAGAGCAGCCGGCCTGCACTAGACCAGGGGGGACACTGCTGTGACCAGGTCCGGGCGGTGATTAGCCCCCAGAAGAGATAGGGGCCCAAGGAGAAAGGGAGACAACAATCACTGTTGTCAACTGGAAAGAAGTTTCCGTGTGAGTCAGAGAAAAGAACGTACACTGCAGGGCCAAGGAGGAGAAGGCACCTTCAGGTAACAAATGCAAGCAGATTTCAGACGAGTACAAGGAAGAAGTTTCTAACAGTCCTGGGCCCAAAAAAGGGAAGGAGGTGGAGGGCTCCTCATCGCCCGCGGAGAGCAGGCAAAGGCATTATTACCTTGGAGTCAAGGATCCGCTGAGCAGACTCCCCGGCGGAGCCACCGCCCAAACCGCGGACGCGCGGCTACCTGCAAGCCCGGGTGGGATACACCGAGTGCCGGGGTGACTCCGAACCCAGTTCCCCCACCCGCGGGGGCGGGGTCAAGGTTAGCTCAGGTGCTTGCAGCCCAGCCTAGCGGGGCCTATAGGTGGAGGCCCGGCCCCCTTCCTCCCCGGCCCTAGCCCCCCAGTCCAACCCTTCTTGGTCCCCTGGAAGACCAGCAAGGTGAGGGAGGAAGCCCTTCTCCAGCGATTCCCCGCTGCCGGAACGAGCTCCAGACGCGGGCTAGCTCGGACCGGGAGGGGAGGGAGAAGAAGGACCCAGATCCCCGGGATCCCCAAGATGTCCGGGGCCGTGGCCGTCCCCCACCCCTACCTGCGGCTGAGGCGCTGCGGACGGCTGCTGCTGGGTCCAGCGGCGCTCAGCTGGTTCCGGGCGGCTGGGCGGGGGCTTGGCGGTCGTTCGGCCGCGGTGGGCAGGGCGCGGGAGGGAGCCGCCCTTGGGGCGGGGCGGCCGGGCCGAGAAGCAGGGCGGGGGGAGGAGCGCCGGCCCCTGCCCGCAGGCAGCTGGGAGGATGGCCATTCCGGCTCCAGGCGGGCAATCGTCGAGCGCACTCTGTGTCACTTTAGCAGACCCCTCGCTACCTCCTCGCAAGGAAGGCATCCGGCCCCTCCTAGGAATAAACTGAGTCTCAGAGCACGGAAGGGAGATCTGCAGGAGGGAGGGGAGAGTGAGGGGAAGGAGACCCAGGGGAGCGGCCGGGCTGGCTGGGCTGGGGCCAAAGAGCTCAGTTGCGGTGGGCAGCGTGCCATGCTCAGCTGGGATCCACGGAGGCAGATTTCAGCTTTAGAGAGTTCTGACTTCAGGAGACAAAGCACTCCTCGGGAGAGGGCGAAATGGGCTACCAACAAAAGCAGGGGAGGTGTGCAAGCAGCCCCTAGGCCCACTGGACCAAATAAAGGAGAATGTTTCCCAACTTTATTCAGAATGAAAGAACAAGAAATGCCAAGTGCATCCCTGTCCTCAAAACAGAACCTTAAAAAAAGAATCTAAAGAGGCTTTGGAGTCAAATGGCCTTGGCTGGAGCTCCTGATGCTTACCAGTCCAGTAACTTTGGGCAAGTGGCTTAACGTTGGCAAAGTGTCATTTCCTCATTCCTAAAGTGGATATAATAATTGCCTCCTCGTGGGGCTCTTGGGAAGAGGCAGAGAAAGACTCTCAGCACAGTGGCAGTGATTCTCCATAAATGGAAGTTCTTACCAGTGTGATGGCGGATATTATTTTAGGTGACGGAGAAAATCCACGTTGTCAAAAAGATGAGTGCAAGGTCACTTTTAAACAAATGTGATATTTTCTTCATCTCAACAGCATCTCACATGCGTTGGAGAAACAGCCCCGTATGATGGCACAGGGCACGGGACGGCCTCCAGCAGTCCTGCTGCAAAGATGGGTTCCCAGGCCTCTTGCAGTGGCTCTGTGGCTCCATCCTCATGGGGAGGACTCCCACAGCAGGAAACTGGACCAGACGACCACGATGTCCATTCCCAGCCTTGGTGCGAGCAGCAACCCCATGTTCAGCTGGGTATATCTCCCTCTCACACAAGGTAAAATGTACCAAGTCAGTAATTGCCAGGTTCTGGGGATCCGAGCAGGAAAAGCTGGTGTTCAAGGAGCAGAGGAGCTAAGAGCACCATACTCATTTCCTGATCTTTTATTTGTTTGTTTGTTTGTTTTCCATTGAGTAGCAGCCAGGGAAGCCACACAGCCTGGGGAATCCCAGCTCAGCTCTTCCACCTGACCTCCCCCCTCCCTTTCTGCAACTCAGGTAATTATAGGAACCATTTCTTGAACACCTCATGCCATGCTCTGGGCTTCCCATGTGCTACGGACTTTCATCCTCCCCTCCCCACCCAGGTAGGTGTTACCATGTACAGTTTTCAGATGAGGAGGCCAAGGCACAGAGATGGTTAAGTAGTTCTCCCAAGTTCACGCAGGTAACAACATACACACCTGAGTCGTTGGCCTCTCTCCTTTGCCCAGTGTCCGACGTCATACATCGCCACCTTTCCTGGCTTGGGAAACTCTACTCGGTTCCACTTTCCCTAAGAACTGAAGCAGGGCACTCACCCCAAAGAAAGGCTCATACCCTCCCTCTGCCACTCTGTTTTCAGAGGCTGCCCATGGCCACCTGGGGGGTGGGTGGGGAGAAAGGCAAAAACACACGATTCGGCTCTGAGCTCTTTGATTATAAGACCTGGCATACACATGCCCCGGATTTGCCTAGCATATCATTTTCAAGGCCAGCAGCTTCTCTCCGGCAAAGAAAGGTAAACCTCTGAATCTGTGTCTCCCTAGAACTGGATAATATCAGATAGAGATGGAGGAAATTTTAGAGAACATCTGGTCCAAGTCCTCACTATAGACATGGGGAAACTGAGGCCAACGGCGCACAGGTTTGCCCATACAACCCTCTGGTTGCTCCACTTGGTACTGGAGAAGCACGTGAGCACCTGCTGCCCCCAGAAATAATGAAAAATTCTGATGAAGATAAGCAATACTTCTATTGGAGGGCCATGCAAATTCCTAGCCCTTTGCTTCGCAGACATTAACACATGTATTTCACAGCTGGCCAGGATGGATCTTGGCCTGACCTTGAGTCAGGGCCAAGTCGGCCTTGCATGGATGCTAAGAAGTCTCCTCTGCCTTGGTATCTTATTCTCATTTCTTTCTAGACTCCTACTTGTACTCCTGTCCCTGCTGGCTCCAGGCATCAGTAAGGCCTTTTTTGCTCTAGATCCTCACCTCCAGAGTGAATGTCTTCTTGTTCTTGATAATATGGATCCCCTCTCATGGAAGAACTTGGATGTATCCTTTTGCCAGAAGACCACCTCCAGACCACTCCCTCGACCTCCAGGAGTGAGGATGGCAGAAACAAAGGCCACAACCCAGGCTATACAGCAGATAATTTGGAGCTGTTGCTCCCCTTGTGAGAATGCCCCTCCCCACCCACAGGAGTGGCCCTCGCTTGGCACCTATATTTGTACATCCCACCCCACCCCACCCCAAACACGGTTGATAGTAATAGGAGTAGACACCAAAACCAAGCAGGACTATCAGAACTTGGAAACAAAGTTTGGGATATGGCAATTATGGTTAATTAAGTGGGCCTGTGAGGACTGGCCATCTCTGAAGGCTGAGACCGCCATTTTGAGGTGACCATCTTCCACAGAGAAAGCCAACGAGACCCCCATTAAATGGCGTGATGGATGTGGGTAAATCAGTGTGGGGAAACTCAGAGAGGAGATGGCCAGGTTGGCCAGGGAAGAATTTGGGATCCATGAGGGCTCTTTTGGATGCAGACCTCTCCTGATGCTAGCCTCAGGAAAGTAAGTTATTAGGACAAGCGTTTATTGAGCATTGAATGCCTTCTAGCAGGTTCCTGGAAGCAGAGCACAAGATCAGGATTCTGTGCAAGCGATTAATTGAAGAGGTGCTCTTTGGGGATCCTGCAGTAGCCCAAGGAGCCCTTAGGGCAGGACGCCGCTGGGCCTCAGAGTCAGCCCGGATGCAGGCCTGAGCATACAGGGTACCTGGAAAGTGCTTTGACTCCATCGCCCGTCTCAGCTCATCTGCTTCCTTGTATTGCCCCAAATCGGACAAGCACCTCTGCTTTCCACAAAATGGCTTTACCAGCAGGGAGGTGGAATCTTTGTCTGTGGTCCACAGGCTAACTTGGGTCAGATGCCTACCCTTTATCCAGTGACTCTAGCCAGAGAGGCAGGGTCATATTGCACAAACCTGGCTGCTCCCACTGTAACCTGTAGATGGAGAGAAAGGGGGAGGGAGAGCCGGGCCAACGAGACAGTGTCACTAGGCGAGAGGACTCAGCCGGGCTTGAAAGGATGGAAAGAGTTATGATTGGAGGTAAGGAATGGGACAGAATCTTCTGCTGGGGTACAGAGTCAGCAAAGGTGTGGAGGTTGGAGGAAGACAAGCCTGGAAGAAGGGGAGGAGTCTGGGTCCCTTCAGTGATGTGCTAGAGCACCAGAGCTGGCTGTTAAATCTCCAGGAATTTTTTTTTTTTTTTTTAAAGATTTTATTTGACAGAGAGAGCACAAGCAGAGGGAGAGAGAGGGAGAAGCAGGTTCCCTGCTGAGCAAGGATCCCGATGTGGGACTCGATCCCTGGACCCTGGGATCATGACCTGGGCCGAAGGCAGCCGCTTAACCAACTGAGCCACCCAGGCGTCCCAAATCTCCAGGAATTTTGACAGCTGGTTGTTAAACGCAGCCTGTCCGCAGCTACACACAGCTGACCCGCTGACAGTGGCATAATAAGAATTAAAACTCAAATTGCCTCCTGGTCACCTTATTATGCCAATTTATTACGTCAATTAAGCCTTATAACCACCTCCAAGTTAGGTATAATCTTCAGTTTTTCAAATACATTAAACAGGCTCAGAAAAGATAAGCAACCTGCTTACGTTTCCACAGCTGGGTGAGTAGAACTGGAACCCGAATCCAGGTGTGTCCCCAAAGCCCAGGTTCTTTCTACAGCCAAAGTGAAGAAAGTCAGGGGGAAGGTGAGGCTTCTTCCAGGCCTCCCATTCAGGATCAGGAATTATTTAATTTTGTCTTAATAATGTTAGGGCCTGATGTTGGGCCCTTCCCTGCAATACTTCATAAATGCTTTATGACAACTCACTATTTATTTATATGGAAGGTATCTGGAGTTTAAGAAATGTAGATCTATTTTAAGAAAGAGTATAAACTGCTGTGCTTGAGAAATAAGTAATTCATAAAACCCTTTATATACGTACACACACCGCCCTCCCCCAAAAATCTTTGAGGCAGTGCTATTCTTGTATTCTTTTATGTACCCACAGAAGAAGTTCATGTTCTGTGTTTTTTCCTTACTTATTATTTACTTACTGCTTTTCTGAGTACGAGTTATGTGCCAAGCCTTGCACTTAGGGCTAAGGGCATAGAGATGAATCAGCCATAGACTCAACCCTTGCAGGGCCTGTGGCCAAGGACACAGACAATTACAATAGGGTGTTATAGGAACCATAACAGAGGAAGCTCCGGTGGGGTTGGAAGGAGGCTGGGGGACACAGACAGGGTCCAAGAAGACTGCAAATAAGGAGATGAGCCAGGCCTTAAAGGACACCTCCCTGGGCCTCAGCTTCTTCATCTGATAACCGTGTCCACCTCCAAGAGTTGTGGAAAAATGGAAATGAAATTATCCATGTCCACCATTTGCTGCATTGAAAGGGCTCTGTAAACAGTAGCTGGTCTCATTAGGGGAACCCCACAGTCAAAAGGCACGGAGGTGCTCAAGATGAGTTAGCACGTGCTAGCGTGTCTGGAATACACGGTACATGATCTGAGTTCTAGAAGATGAAACCAAGCAGCAAGAAGACAGCAGCATTCATAGGTGCCTGCTCCAGGCATTCCCTCCTTTGAAACGGATTGAAAATTCCTCAGATTGAAACTATGCTCCCTCCCAGTTTGGAGATGGAGAGATTGAGGCTCAGAGAGGTGAAGTTACTTGTTTACATTGCACAGTTGAGAAACGGCAGAGGTGGGATGAGAACTGAGATTTCACTCCAAAGCCAGTCTCCCGTGTGGGACTGACAGCGGGCCAGGCTGAAGGGATGGGGCACT